CAATACAACAGCAGAAACTCAGTGTGTTGTTGGCAAAATATGCAAAGGTATTCATGAGACTGGATGGCTATACAGCCTTATTGTGCTTGGTTGTCAGGAAAAAGAAAGGCATGCCCAGGTTTTGTATTGATTTTAGATGGGTGGACATGGTAATTCACATTGATGTCTTTCCAGTACTGTGAACATATGAACATCAGGATGCACTATAAGGGGCTTAGTGGTTCAGTATATTTGACCTGGCATCCGAACAGTGGGAAGTCGAGCTGGATGTGGATAGCAAATTTAACACTGTTTTTAGCATGAGGTATGGCTTGTACAAGTTTCACATCATGCCTGCCACTTTTGGCAGGCTAATGGAGCTTACACTGAAGTGGCTACAATGGAAGAAGCACATGATCTATGTTGACAATGTCTTATTGTTTGTTTGCACACTTGAACCTACAGCTAAAGACGTGAAAATGGTATTCCTGTGGATACAAAAGGCAGGCTTGAAACCAAAACCAGTAAAACGTGTGTTCATGCACATGGAAGTATAATTTATTAGCCATATTGTAAGGCATCCATAGATCCTGCTAAAACAGCAGTAGAGTGAGATTGGCTTTGATGTGTGACCAAATGAGAAGTCCACAGTTTCCTAGATCTTGGGTCATACTATCAATAATTTATAGCCAACTTTCCTAAGATTGTCTCACCATTACTGGTTCTCACTAAAGCAGAGATGCACTTTAGATGTAGTGAGAAATGCAAGCAGGCATTTCAGTCCCTAAAGTGTGCTTTAATAGAAGAGTATCGACTACAAGATTACGAGTTTCTGTTAGACACATATGCCCGTTTAATGGGACTAGTAGAAATGTCATTGCAATTACAAGATAGAGTAGAATGTGTTATCACATATGCTAATGACTCCTGAGCACAACAGAGAAAGAACTTATTGCAGTTATGGTGTTTGCAAACCTTTTTTTTGGTACCTTTGTATGGTAGAGCATTCATGTATAAATGGATCATGTGTCTCTGAAATGGTTGATGAACTTCGAGAGCCTACAAGAAATGATTGAAACCAGGCCATTCCATTGGTAGATGGATGCCATGATTAACATTTTAGGAGCTCCAAAAAGAGTAAGTGAAGGACTCAGATCTAGCATGGGTGCTTCTTACTTTCAGTAAGATATAGCCAACAAGCACAGATTAAAGGATGTTGAATATGAGTGTAAGTAACTTATGGCACTCTTACAAGCAGTTATAAGTGTGTTCTACCATTCTTATCAACCACCAAGTAGTGGTTCTTGTCCTATGTTACAGTGAGTGTTCCCCAGAACAGTCAAGAGACATACAAATGTACATAGTACATATTGATCAGCTTTGTCTGTATGTGAATGATGAACATCAGGTGAAATGGTTTGATCAAGAGTCATAATAGGAGATTGTCTTGTTGAATGAAAATTAAAACAATGTTTTATGGCACCTGACCTTGAAGATGAAAAGAGCTAAGAGTACTTATTTGGCCGTTTAGGATGAGGTTCTCCAGATAATGTATAATACAAAGAGTGAAGACATAAAAGGTGTTAAATGCACTTATGCTAACATTCAATGGTAATGGTGATTTGTTTCACTATATTGGTGTTGAGATATTCAGCACTGGTACAGTGCATACCTCCAAGATAAAAAAGTCAGCAAATATTGTTGGTTCTCCTCTACAGAGAATATGCCTGGATATTGTTGGTCCACTTCTGTAGATGTAACAAGGTCATCTGTACATGCTCATGGTCATCAACTGCTTTCCAAAGTGGTTTGAGGCTTATTCATTGGCTGATATGTCCATACAGAACATGGCTGATGTGTTGAATAGTCAAGTTCAGAGCACCTGAAGAAATCTACACAGCTTCAAGAGCCAACTGTTATCTGAGTTGGGTTAAGTGTATTGTGTGTTTAAGATGCACACTTCACCTTATCCCACCAGTCTGAAGGTTTAGTGGAATTGGTAATAAGACTTTCAAGCATATACTTGCTAAGCTTGTTAATACAGATGAATCTGACTCAATCACTTACAATAAGTCATGAATATCCTTATGTTTGTCCTAGTAATCTTGATCCCTTTAGAGGTGAGGTGTGGTCCTCCACCTAAGTGAATGTCCCACAGTGTCCACAAGAATATGTGGAGTGGTTAAGGTTTGCATTAATTAACACACTCATGTTTGCACACCGACAGAAAGGAAGATCATTGTACGAAAGAAGTGCTACAATAATAGTGAAGGAATGAATTCACCAAAGTGAAGACTGCATGTGGCTTTGGTATATGCCAGCAACATAGAAACTCCATCTTGGAAAGGATCTCATCTTGTGTCCTACTAAATTATTTCGTTGAAGTACTTGTTTCAATAGCCAAAGGACTTGTGCAAGTATGTAATATATATAACAATCTGCATCATACATAATCAATTAACCTTTGGTAAACTGGCTTGAAGAGGAAATGTTATCAAGATAGGTGGGGGTGAAAACACTGTCTTATCCTGCTCCAAACCCAAGAGTTCTTATTAGGCTCTTCGGAATGTGTAATATGAGGAAGCATCAGCTCTAGAGAAAAGATTCATCAAACCATCACTGCCAACCTTCCAATCAACATGGCTGAGGTTAAACTTGATCATCAAAAGCTTAGATAGTTACTGACTGTAAGATGACTGATTGAATTGTAGTGGCAAATATCACTTTCCATGCCATCAAGTGATGCTCACCATACAAAGTATGCACTACATCTTCTGATTTCTGCTTGATAACCACAAAGCTAAGACAACTCAAATTAGTAGATCTAATGCCAAGTTAATCAACAGTTTGCACAGCTGAAGATGATGACTAATAGTTCGAAAATCAGCTTAAGTGTCATTGTGACACTTTATTTCTCAGCTGTCAGAATCACTCATCTGGTCTGGCTGAGGGGCAAGAACTCATTGGATAATAATACTGAACGGTCTTTGCTTGTGAGGGAGTTGTGCTTCCTGGGTGTGTTTTGAAATATATTGTGGTAACAGAATGATTCTTAATCTTGACTTATGAGAATTTTATCTGAAAAGCCTTGGTTTTGCTGAATTCTGTTAGTGATTATTTATTTTCTGGTGCCTGAAAAGAAAAGCATGTTGAATGTGACAAATCATAGATGACAGCACATTACAAGACCATGGCTAACATGTAGTAGCTTAAGAAAGTAACCCAATATAGTTACAAAGTAATTTGTGTGAGGGCTGGAAGAAGTCTTGTAAACTAGTAGTTTATGTGACAACATTTAATGTTGATACATTCACATGGCAACAAATGTGTGCAAATAAGTATTTGTGTGTGTGGTCCCACATATGTGTACAAACATTACATGAAGTCATTTATTAGTGCTGTATAATACAAATGGATCAATTACACAAAGGACATAACTATTAAACTATATAGCAGTAAAGGATTTGATATAGATGTTAAAAGTATGAAATATTAGATTAACTGTAATTACTAACCTGATACACCAGTTATTTTCATTAATACTTGTGAAATAATGTTTCAATTTGGACACTGAAATATTTGGCAGGAAGTGAACTTTCATGGAAAGACAAGAGTAATGGAGTCACATTACATCTGATAGAAGATACAGTTGTATTTACTGTATTTTGGCAAGAATAGTACAAGATATTTTGATTTGATTGAATTGAAATGTTTATGTAATGGTGAAAGTAATGCTAGAGTATTAAAATTCATAGGCAGTAGCTTATATATAACGAACATAAACTTGTTGTAATCAATGTTCAGTTGGTTGCATTAAAATATTTCAATTGTGTAGGCTGAAATATTTAGTAAACCACACAACTTTCTAAATAGTTTCTTAACATTATTCCAATACATGATGCAGAATAAGACATATAAAAATGTGGGCCATAAGTGTTCTGGGTGGTTAGAAAGTAGCATCTGCATGGTGAGACTTTGAAAACTTCTTCTAACTAGTACTAAGGTTTTATCTAGAAGAAAGTTGTATAATTTAAGTATTAATGGATTCTAACCGTCAGAAGTATAGGTTGGCATCTCCTAGCCAGAATCAACACGTGTGTATGATTCAGTTCTGCACTATTGACTCCATTCCTTTCCTACTGTAACTTGGCATTGTTTATGTAACAGCCAGATAGCAGTGGATGGAATGGATTTGAGTTGAAGGGTAAGCGTATTTGCCTTTGTTATGGGAATGTTAACATGGACAGCACAGCTGACTATTTGGAATTTATCAGACTTTTTTTGTTTTCAGTTAGGGCTTTGACTAGTTAAGATGGAATTATTGACTTCTGGCTACCTTGTTCCACAACAGGGTGCCTTTCTTGTGTGCTTACTTCTCCAAGTCTTATTCAATCAGCTGTGGTAAGATACATATGTTAGATGACATTGAGGAGTACCTTAAAGTGTCAAAGAAAACTTCAGGGATCTTTTGGCCTAACTGTAGCTGACTTTGGGCTTGTAGAGGACCCTTCAATGTGCTTATTTTATTTGATGCAGTGATAAGTCATAGAAGGTAAAGATGTGGAGGAAAGAAGAGCACAGTTTATACAACTCAAGGCTTGGTATCTAACAAACCATAGAAAGTGTCTTGCACTGATACCAAAGTTATTGAAAACGGCTCTTTTGGAGTTGTTTATCAAGCTTAACATGTAAACCATATAGAGTTACTAGCAATCAATAAAGTTTTACAAGACAAGAGATCTAAGAGTAGAGAACTGAAGATGATTGTATCATGTATGCATTTGTTTCCTACTCAAGTGATGAAAGATGAAATGAACCTTAAACTGATAATGGAATTTATTCCTGAAGTGATGTATATTTAATAAATTATTTAAATGCAACATATTCTGAATATATCATTTCACACAACATGTGATTTCCTTCTAATTGCCTTTCTTCTTTTGTCATTTTAATGAGATAATACTTGTTTTGTCCATACAGTGGTACTTCTATAATGCTGCACGTCATGCATGAAGGTCGACAGCTTCAGTGGTAACCTAAATGGTATCTCGAGATGACATAAATCCAGTGTTACCTACGTCCACTATAATAAAACCTTTATTGTAAAAAACAATATAAATGCCTTGGAACATAATAAAAACATTTACTCATCAGAAATATCCTAAAAACCCTGGATTACTATAATAATACCTTCAAAAAAGTCAGAAACAACATAAAAGTGTTGGAATACTACAAAACCTTTACTGCCAGAAGTAATATACAGGAATGTGCTATGAACATTTACAGATTAAAATGTGTTACAAGGTAATACAGAAAAACATTGGTATACAGACCTTCTGCATTGAATCAGAATGTACTTAATTATGCTGTGTACCTCACTATAGTATTTGTGACTAAGATATTCAAGTTTTTGTATGCTAAACATTCTTGATAAATTTTATGTTGTGTATCTTAATAAGGAGTAAAACATGGTTGACTAACCCAGCAAAAGTATTAATTATCTTCCCAAGAACTTTTACAAGGTTGTAACAAAACCTTGGTTTCATTTGTTATAAATTTCACACAAAGCTACTTGAAAGCTGCCTGCACTATCTATCCCTAATTTAGCAGTGATAGACTAGAAAAAAGGTAGCTAGACTACAACACCAACCACCAACTCTTGGGCTACTCTTTTACTAATGAATAGTGAGATTGACCATCACATTATAATGCCCCCATGGCTGAAAGAACAAGCATGTTCAGTGACAGGGTCTACCATCACATTTAGTTGAAGTTTTACAGATTGCATGGCTTGTTTTTATGTTGTTCACTATCAGTGGAGTCCACATATTTCATTATTTTATAGCACCTCAGTATAGGGGTGAGAATGGTTTAAAAGAAAGAAATGATCATTTTCCCAAGTTCCAGAGAGTCCCATAAGTATAAGATTTTAGATTCTCTCTCTCTCGGGTGTTGGGCTATATTCTGCACTTTTTTTAAGTGTAATTTTAATAGCAATTTTTAACCAAGAAATGGTTAAAGTATCTTATAAGATCTTTACAAAAGCCACACATGGCTTTTCTCACAGTATACACTTTTCAGAAATGCTTTTTAATCATACAAACTACATTCTCCTACCCCAGCAACTCCACTTTCACCTTGACATTCCTTTCCAGCGAGATATATTCAGCCCCTTATTCATCTTTTCAATAAAATTTGCCTGTCCCTATCTCCATTACTTTCTTCATATTCTTCTATATTTAAAAGATCACTATAGTGCAGTCCGTTCTCTATCAAACAATGTGCTTAGAAAAATGGAAAATGGCAGATTAACAGTCAAAATTTTCTGTAATTCTATCTGATTTGCTCATTTCTCCCCAGTTAGCACATTTTGTCTAATTAAGTGGTATTTAATGAAACATTGTTGTAAATTCCATTTTCACATGTTTACCACTAGATGCCACGGATAAGTACTAATACTAGACCATGAACCCGACCATTCTAACTTTGACCCTAACCCCTTCCTTCCACTGATCTCTATAATGAGCCAAATGACAAAAACAACAACATGGAATTCACAAAATCTATGGAAAAATTTCATTCCTGACAGTATAAAGAACTGACCAGAAGTGGATTAACTCATTTATTTTCAATGTAAAATATGTAGGGGAGCAGCAATTAATGGTAATTTTTGTTTAAATTTTTTTGTGTGACTCATATGATTGGGAAACATATATTATCCAACAAGATCATATGGACCTCACCTGTAATTTTATACAATTAAGGCTGTTAAACTTATCATAATGTTCAAGGTAGAACTATAAAAGAATAAATTAATTTTATCCTACCACAAGAATCCATATAAACATATCCTAAAGGAACATAATGGAAGAAACAGTGAAACTTAACCAACTGGTTGTATCTCACTTGGCTATTACCAGAACATTTATACAAAACATTAAAATAAAACACGAGTTTTCAAAACTTCTGACTTACATATTGTTTTGGTACATTTTAATTGTTATTCTGGTTAATGTGTTAGTAATTACTTTGTATTATTACACCTACCTTCTGAGCAGCAACAGCCAACTTTGATGTCTCAAGATACTTCTTGCTGGCTGTAAAAACTGAAACTCGTAAGTGAGAAAACAGAAAACGGCATTCTGAGGTAACAGTAAACTGTTTTATTTTTTTTTTAGATAGCAGCTAGAAAAGAATCTTTATACCAGCAATTAGGTTTAATACAACAGCATAATTTAATGAATGGTGCTGGATGAAATACTTGTACCATTGTCTGGAAATGACAATCGCATTATGTTCTATCAATGGGATAGAGCTAACAGAGATGATGATGATGATTTGTACTTTGCACTTGAGTAGATGAAACAGTGTATTATAGTGAATATAAAGGAAGACTGGACATTGACCGAATACTGACCTATGTTGGAATATCAACAGTTGTGATTTGTACTAGGTATGACAAAACTTTGTATTCTGCAGGATAGCCAACTGTGTCACAAGAAATGAGAGGACTGTGGGATACAGGAAACACCAGTTAGTATTTCACTGAAGAGTAAACAATTTCATGAGGATTGTCACAAAGATAACTTGTGACTACACAGATCACAAGGGGATACAGAAGGCACTCAATGCTTATCACACCACCATTATTCTGTTGTTGGTCAGTTAAGGCCTTTTCATAGAAGTTTACTTCTACCATAGCAGTTAAGAAGTCTAGTGTAATAGCAATAACACTGGCTTACCCAGGAACCACGTTTTCATGCAACATAAAGTTTCACATTTAACAGTATGTTTCACATATTGTGTGGCCTTCGATGCTATAACTTAGTATCTTCTTCACATTCACTAAAATGGTTACTGGACGATGCATCAGAAGAGTTATTTTTAGTTCTGTAGGAATGGCTTGCACCCAATACAAATCCGTGATTTGTCATGTCGGCACATTCTGATCTCACTTCGCTATAGTCATCAATCTGTATCTTTAAACCACAGTCCTCTAACACTGTACTTCTCTTCCTTTCTGCCTGCAGGATCTCATGATCCATCTCTTCTTCAGTCATCTTTCTTGTCTCAGAATGTTCAAACTGTGTAGCACGCACACAAAACTTCCCTAATCCTTGTTCATGGAGGATCTGAAATTGTTTTGATAAAATAAAATATATACTGGGGTTATTTTAATTATTCAAAGAATGCAGTTAAGAAAGAGAAGAAATAAAATGTACTAAATATACATATTAATTATAGCAATTTTCAATTATTGTCCTCGAGTTAGATAAACATTTATTGGTGTAAAAATAATTGCAACTACAAAACACAAATATAAGTATTCCTAGAAACAGTCACCTCCACTCAAGCACACATAAAAGAGTTATCACAATAACGTCTAAACATAAAGATGTTGAAATTCTAGTTCTAAATGTTTAATGAGATCAGCTTCCCAACACGTAATTAAACTACACTGTTTCATACTTTTCTTGTTGTTAAAAACATTTTCTTAAGATTGACATTGCCAGAACAATACTTAAAATTTGAACAATTTAATTTTTAAACAGTACCTTAATATAAGCTCTGGCAATATAGAAACAAAATTAATGAATTTTACAAACTGTTATTGCAAGCTTGTGTACTGAAGCACATTATGCTAATATAATAGTGAATTAATAAACAATGATTTATAAGCATAAAGAAATGGATTTATTTGGGAGGGGGGGGACATGCTCATGTTTCGACACAACAATGATCTGTCTTCTGTTCTGTGGGAACATGTAGTATGTTCCCCAAAAATAAAACAACTTCTTTATGCTTATAAATTGTTATCTGTAAATTTACTATTGCTATTGCAAGCATTAAACAATATTATCTATAATCAAATCAGGCACCAAGTATACACATGAGGAAAATAATTACCTTATTATTAATATTACAGCATTATTAACAAGAAATGATAAACTTAGGTTGACTGAAGTTACATCATATAGTTCAAATCTGAAAGTCAATTTCAATAATAATTTCTGAATACTCAGTTTTTTATACAAACATTTCCAGTGTATTTTCTGAAATCTAATGTTTTAGTTTAATACAATGTTAGTTCTTAAAAATAGTTTTATACTACCATGTATTAGTACCATGTTTGTTTCTTAGTCAATGTTTTATAGTTTTGCTCTAGTTCAAACAGATACTTATCTCTGAAATATGAAAAGCTTTTCCCACTTCAGTTTCCCTCATGCCATGAGCAAACATGACTAAAGTTCTGAATATCCTTCATATGATGCAAACCGTATGTAAACTTACCCATGTTTCGCCATTCTCCCACCTTCCATGCAACTTATCATGCTTGTATCAGGAGAACTTATATACGTTCTGACAGAAACCAATAATCTACTGGCTGGGTGAGAATGTATTTCAAGAGTTAAGCATCTGTTACTAACTCATTTTAGTTCTAAAAATGTAAAACTCAAAACAGGTAGACTTACCTCTGAGATAAAAAAAAGCCAGGATACTCTCATTGAGATGGAGAAGAAAGCTGGAGGATCTGAGGCAGGAAGGTAATAACCTACACCACAATAACTGAAAATGTGGTACAAACAAAACTAAATAGAATACAGATCCAGAATAGGTTCAATGGACTTGATCCATGGGAACAATTAGTGGAGCAGACCAGCCTCATAAGAGACTAGACAGACCAAATAATGCCACTGAGAAAATACATTCTTCTTAGCAAGGTACATGCTTGCCCTCAACACTTTTTAAATAAAACATAAAAAAGTGAAGTCAAACAGTATGTTTTTATTTACCTATGGAACCGTCACATTTTCAGGTGGTGCCAACAGGTATTCAGTGTCAGATTACAATACACTGTTCTGCACCTGTAGTGGAAAATTCTCAAAGTAAACCAGTAATAGATAATAACTGGACATGCTTCTGAGGTTAAAGCCCTCTACATCTACATCCAAAAAGACCAGCAGTTTACAAGATTTACCCAGTCAGCAGGTAGTCGGGAGAATTAAAAAGACCCCGGCAGACCTGAGGTTGAGCTTGACAACTGAAGACCCATGTAGACCTAAGGATGGGCTTCACAAGTGTAGGAAAGTGCAATGGGAACACTGACTATATTAAAAAAGATAAAAATAAAACAGTAAGATGTTCCACACCCAGATTGGAGTTACAAGAAATCATATGAAGGAGAATCGTCTCAACTTTAACGCCTCAAATGATACATAAGGATGAGCACATAGAGGTGGGAAATGTACCCATTGAGGCATCATCACCAACCATATGGCATCCTTTGTCACCTTCCAGAGGGCATCACCCTCTCACGAAACACCACCGCAGAGGATGTATTTTATGTATAAGACAATGGCAGAGATATATGCAACATGTGAGATTCCCAACTGGACAAATCCATTCAAATACAGAGTCTCATAATACTTATAAGACAATATTTTATGTATATAATGACCTGAGATGCCCCTGTAACTGATAAATAGGGTGTTGAACCACATAGTGATACAGAGGTTATTATGCACAGCAGCAGTGTGGATCCTAGTGTTAAGTAAGAAGGTAACAAAACAGAATTCACCTGCTAGGGATTCCAGCTGTCTTGAAGAATCACATGGAGTAGCAAAATGTATAAATACAATTCTTAAGAGTGTATTTGAATTTATTCATATGCTGGCCTGCAGAATATCCTTCTAGGGTATACTGCCACTGGAATGCTTAAGACATTAAACAAATGGCAAATTTGGTGAGATATAACCTGGAATTCACTTGTAAAGTGTTGAAGAACATTGCAGTAAACAACACACAACTGTACAACCCACAATTTGCTAAATTCGCTCAAGCAATAGCCAAGGATCATAATTCATTCTAAAGTAGAGATTGTTTTTTTTCTGAAAACTCTGAAAGATTCAGTATGTGTTAGATAACAATGAATAATCCTGACAGAAAATTAAAATTTCCTTTGAATGAGAATCAAAATCAGTCTCGGCAGGTAACCAAAAATAAGTGAAAAAATGGGGTTTACCTTCTCTCACAGCCCAACTTGTATGTTACAAGACTTGATATTAGTACAAGTATAGGTCCTCTTGGAAAAAGCATCGATGACCTAGATGTCAGAATGTCTTCTGCTGCATGCAAGTAATAAAATAATATGTGATTTGAGGGAAAGATGACAGATCATCATATCACTAAGTGTTCAAAGGTGGGAGAAGCTACGAAATGTAAGACTAAATCCAAGACTTATTTAGGACAATGTTAGAACAGTGAGAAGTATGAAAAAGGTCATTTAACAATGGAAACAAAAGTGATTGATGACTTCCATGGCATCAGAAAGTGGCAGTTCTATAACCAAATATGGAAGAAACTGATAAGCTACGATCATGAAACAAATATATAAGAAAGGAAGAAACTTGCTAAGGAGTTGAAAATAAAGAGATTGTTTATTGCACCAACTTCTGAAGGTTGCCCAATAAGATTGAAAGATAGTCAGGGAAGACTGCCAGCAAGAATGGATTAATAACTGAATCACACAGGAAAATAATAAGGCTTCTCGGGCAAAGATCTGAACAACAGCCAGCCATGAAGCCATAGACATTGGACATCATTGTGAAAAAAAGGACATTCTAAAATGACTACAGTATTTCCATGGAGTTAATGGAACTAATTCTCATTGAAAAAAGTAGATGTTATAGTGGAAACCATGGTTGAGTTGGCCAAAGTGCAGTAATACTGAGAATCCTGAAATACAAATAACAAATAACTGAAATACAAATAACTGAGGAAGAAGATGAAGAAAAGAATGAGACCAATGGAAGAAATAGGAAATAGGCACGGGAGGTGTTGCATGTGAGTGCATCTACGAGTCCTCAAGAGTATTACTTCATTAAGTGAAGCTACTGACCCTAAAGCAGAAAGACTGTCTTTGGTGTTAGGTATCAAAGACATAAAAGTATATACTTGAGACTCGAAAGCTTGCAGCACCACAAGAGATAGCAGAAGTGTACTCTGAACTTGTTGATCCAAAGCCCAATATTCATAGCAAATACTGGGTTAATTCTAAAATGTGAATTGGAGATATGGAAGATCCACCCAAGAGATGTATTTAGCTGGGTGGTCAACTGAGAGTTCTGTTGTAAGAGACTGAATATAGATCAAAAAGCAGCGAAAAAGGTATCGAGCTCAAGGTAAGAGCAGTGAACTCACAACTATCCCCTGATTGCAAAAAGAAGAAGTAATAGGATGACTGATAAACATGGATATCAAAATAAGCATCCTGAATATCCATCATTGTCATCCAATGGCCTTGATAAAGAAACTTTCCCAACAACCTCATGTTTTCTATTTAAAAATGAGGTTTCTATAGGAAAATAGAAGTTGAGTTAGGTTTATGACAGGTCTAATCTCCTGATATCTTCAGGACCACAAAGAGATGAGTGAAAATCTGGATAATCATAATAATGATTTCAACTACACCTGTCTTACAGAGTTTTGTGACTTCCTGATCCAGAATTTATAAGAAAATATAATGGAATGAAGAATAAAAAATGTTGTGACCAGATTGAAGGACTAATGAAATCCAATGATCTCGAAGCTAAGAGTTACATAGATGAACCAGCAATCTGAGACACCCCTTCCCAATAATTCAGATAGGAGATTTGTCCAGAACAGAAGAAAGTCATTGAGTTGTTTGAGAAGGTCCACCTTTATTACTACTACTTTGGCCATTTTGAAGGGTCAAATGAAATGAGTTATAGCAACTGACAAAAAATGAGATGAAGATAGGGGAATAAAAGCAGGAAGAGGAAGATTACATGCTGGTCATCTCAAAAGGAACGACTACCAGAAGTAAGTCAGAATGCTAAAATCGTAATCAGCTCTTGCTGGTATACTTCTCCAGAATAGGAGACTAGAGAATGTACAAAGAAATGATGCTGGAAAGAAGGTCTTTAAAGGTCAGCTTAAATATTGAAATGTGGTAAAAGGTACCTTGAAGCAAAGCATGATGGGTGATGTTAAAAAAACATAACAGACACTTGGTAAGAAAAACTACACCATTTAAAACCACACATGGAAGACAGCAAAGTAAAACTTTTCTCTCTGACTAAAAGAATCAGGAAAATGAAAGTAGCTAAAA